TCTTCCAGGTTGCCTGGGAGACTTATTCTAGATGGGAGAAGTTACGTTCTTCTCCAGAGGAGCTTGGAGCTGGGCAAGGAACAAATGGGCTGTCCTGTGTGATACCAGCTGCAGAGAGTTTGTGCATGGGCTCATCACACCCCTCTTTGACTCAATCCCTGGCTGACATTAAAAGGGCAGGGCATTGTCTCGATATACAACTATGTCTACATTAGGAGTTTGCCTATGGCTGTACCAGATTGAGTGCAACTGGTCTTATCTGATCTTAGGAGCTGAACATCCTTGGCCTAGCTAGGGCCACCGAGGAGTCCCAGCCATTGGATTAGGCCATTGTGGCAGAGTAGTTAAGGTGCTACCCAACAGTGCCATGAGTTTGAGCCCTGCTCAGGACTTGTGCTGAAGGCCCTTTGGCCTAGCTGTAAATGGCTACATGGTTGTTCAGACTGAGGAATCAATGGCAACCGAATGGGCTGCCAGCCACATCACTCCCTGGTGTGCTATGGGCTTCAGGAGCTGGTGAGCCTACCCTGAAGCATCATAGCCTGATGAGCTGCTAGGCCCGAGGGAGAACTTTCTTTCAGATAAGGAGAGCTTTCTTGGTCTACTCTGCCAGCAAAATGCTCCTAGAGTGGATGTGCTCCCACAGCAAAGCTGTGCTTCATACCAGTATCATGAACTCTCGCACCTCCCAAAATGGTACAAGCCATGCTTATAAAAGGAAGGGCACACCTGCATTCACAGTGTGGGGCTCCTGCCAGCTCAGCTCTAGCAAGTGGGGATCACATGGCTGTGCTGGCAGGAGCCTGTGGGCTAGATCTGGCCTGTGTTTCTCTGCCTACTCTCTCTGTAGTCAGCCTGCTGATGACAGGTGGTGCTGTAGGAGTTGGTGCTCAACACCATCCCACACTCCTCCTGCTCACAGTGATGGTGCAGGGAAAGTTCTGAGGCACGTGCCACTGAGATATATTCTACAGCAAATAACTTTCCTGGACTGGGCTACCCTCTTCCTCCAGGCCTGACACAGCCTAGGAAGGGTATTTATTCCAAGACATCTAATGGTGATGACCTTCCACCCTCTTCTCATAGAATCTCAGGCACAAGGCAGGGCAGGGTGGCACCTGAGAGGCTAACTCCTCCAGAACATTTCAGAGATTAAGGCCGAAAGAGACCATGAGAGCATGCAGTCTGACCTCCTGGATGTCACAAGCCATTACATTCCATTCAAATACCCTTGGACATATCCACAGTATTAGATAGGGCAAGTATTTTGGTCCTAAGAGGTCCTAAACCTCTACAGATGGAAAACAGGAAAGATCAATTCCCCAGCAATAATCCAGACCCTTGTGACCAGGACCAGACTAATTCATATGCTAATTTAACCAGAGCATAGGGCCCTCAGTCCCATGGGAGCCCACTGAGTTCAGCATATCTTTGGTTGAAGTGCCTGTGGCAGCTGTCTCTGCTTTCTCATTTTGTGAATCAGCAGAGGAATCTGGGAAAGCAGTCTACTCCCCTGGTTCACAAAAGAAAAGGAAGGAGTGCTTGTACTGGGGCTTGTGGCTTGGCGTACTGATCCCACCCATTCTGTAATGTGGCCTTACCTGTAATGGCATGGAATTAAGTGACATGAGCTCACCTGGCCCCAGCAGGTAAATAAATACCCCATGCTAGAGAGGAAAGCACAAATCCCCACATGTCCCTGCCATTCTGTCCTGGGGCAAAACACTTTCATGACCTCAAACTGGGTGAGAAGCAGGGATCTACTATGAAACTGTCCTGCCCTGGGTGAGGTTTCCAAAGGATGCCTGCACAGAGCCTCCCCCTGCCTCCCAACCTCTCATCAGGACTCTTCTTCTCTGAGCTAATCAGCCTGGCTATGCTTCCTCCATCCTGCTTCTATCTGAGGAAGTACAAGGTAATGCTGCAGTCATTTCATGCTATGCAGATACATGGTAAAAGTATGCCTATAAGGTGTGAGGCAGACCTGTGCTGAGAAACACCCTGCCCACTCCATGTATGTTATGTCCTGAACAGGAAACACTGTAACTGTGTTAGTGTAATGCTAAAGGCAGGCTGTTTGGCTCTGGTAAGAAACATGGCCAACTCACCCACTCACTGCACCTCATGAGTACAGCTGCATTGCTGCCGGCTCTAAACGAAGCAATGCAGCTCATTTGTGACCCCAGTAGCCTTGTGCCTTGCGACTGGTTGTATTGCCCACAAGACAGCTCTGCTGATGAGTAGCATCCTGAATAGGTGAGCAAGACCCCTTCCCTCAGGCCCTCCTCCTCTTCCCATTGTCCATGAAGAACTGAGGGACAGAATCACACTGGGCACATCTGTGTGTTCATTGATGCACTTTTGCTACTGTACATTAATTTTAGTACCACTAATATGAGGTCCTACATAAAGGCACATTAGGCTGCCCTAATGCACAGTACCAAAAGCAAATGCCTTTTTAGTGATGCTTAATGTGCGGTAGACTAATTCTACTACACTTTAGCATATTAGCACTGTTTTTGCCGTGAGACTTTAATGCTCATTAGAATAGGCTACTGCACATTAAAGTCCACATGTAGACGCGCCTGCTGTCTCTTGTTTTCTTCCTCCCTGCAAAGGGAAAGAACATCTGTGCTCAGCCTTTTTTCCTCTGAGCTGGCTGAGGTAAGATCAGGGCACTCAAGGCTTTTGGATAATCGCTACTTAGTTAATTACTTGAGTGAGGGAGGGCATTCAGAAATATGCCAGTGCAGGTGAACCCTGATATGGGCACTGGGTGGGGGAGGTGAATGTGCCAAGTAATAGAGAAAGGGTGTGTAAGGTCAGATGTTATTTCCCTCCACATCTCTCACTCCCTTTTCTGGTGTTGGTCACACGGTCCCTTCAGCCGCTTTGTTTCCTTTGTAGCCAAACCATTCTGGCACCACCCCTTGCTGAGGGTGCATCTGTCAGTTTGCATACACACGTATATCTGTCCTACTTTTCTTTATAAGCCTCCTGACTCTTCTAGAGCTGAATTTGCACAAAGTATGGCTCACTGGAAGCCGTTCCCCTCTCCGCAGGGTCCTCAAGAGACTTCCTTTGCCTGGCAAGTCAGACTGCAGACTTGGGTTGGGGTATGGACCTATGAACAGATGACAGTGAGTTAAATGGGCAGGGACATACCACATATCAGCTGCTCCGTGGTAATTATCCATGTGCCTGCTCTTGACCCACAGGAACTGAACACCAAACACTGCTCCAGTTTAGTGTTCACTTACCACTGGACAAGAGCAGACACATGAGGAGTTGCCATGAAGCAGCTGAAGCATAAGTGTCAGGAGTCAAGACAGTAAGCAAGCCAGCTAATTACCTCTCCTGTGCCCACCTGCAGGCTGACCCTGGTTATCTGATTACTTCCAGCTGACTCGGGTTGCCTGCAGGGTCAGGGCTGTCTGCTTATGAGCAGTAGCTCTTTCAGTGCCCTCAATTAGGGCTAGCTGGAAGTAGGCTGCAGGCAGCCAGCCAGCCCCACTCAGGTGATGAGGGCCTACTGGGGGTGTCAGGGTAGCTGCTGCCCTGACTCCTGACAAGAGTTCTGTAACTCTTTTTATCTCTCTGTCACTCTCATCTGCCCATGCCCATGGACTCAGGGGGAAAAGGCAACAAACAGCAGTGATGCTAAACGGAGCATTGCCTCTGCTCTCCAGTGAAGTATAACACCTAGCTCTCCTCTGCCCATCTCTGACAGCATCCAACTCCATGGCCCCTTCCGTCCACCTCGGGTGGGAAATTACACACATCTTTGGCAGAACGTTAAACCAGTGTCCCTTCTGCCCCTCTCCCTTTGGGAGCTAAAGACCCTCTGTTCCTTTTGGAAAAATTAGGCATATAACTCAGTGGTCCAAGCAAACATGCTCTTCACAATGAAACCTTCTACAAGTTCAAAGCCATAAGCAAGTCATTGGTAAGTACAAAGTGACTGGTGTGTTCATAGGTCTGATGGAAGAGGGAAGCAGCCATACGCTACCTAAGCTCCACCAGAATCCCTAAACTCTGCCCCTCCCATCCCAGCTTTGTTCTGTGTCCC